TTGCCCCCAAACCAGCCCCCCGGGGGCCCCAGAGCCCCCCCCGAGCCCCAGAGCACCCCCATGTGCCCCAAAGCACCCCCCGAGTCATAAACCACCTCTGTGTGCCCCAAAACAGACACCCCGTGTGCCCCAGAGCACCCCCCGAGTCACAAACCACCTCTGTGTGCCCCAAAACAGACACCCCGTGTGCCCCAGAGCACCCCCCGAGTCACAAACCACCAAAATAGACACCCCGTGTGCCCCAAAACAGACACCCCATGTGCCCCAAAGCACCCCCCGAGCCCCAGAGCACCCCTGTGTGCCCCAAAACAGACACCCCGTGTGCCCCAGAGCACCCCTGTGTGCCCCAAAGCATCCCCATGTGCCCCAAAACAGACACCACGTGTGCCCCAGAGCACCCCCCGAGCCCCAGAGCACCCCCATGTGCCCCAAAGCACCCCCCGAGTCATAAACCACCCCTGTGTGCCCCAAAACAGACACCCCGTGTGCCCCAGAGCACCCCCCAAGCTCCAGAGTCCCCATGTGCCCCAAAACAGACACCCCGTGTGCCCCAAAGCATCCCCGTGTGCCCCAAAACAGACACCCCGTGTGCCCCAGAGCATCCCTGTGTGCCCCAAAACAGACACCCCGTGTGCCCCAGAGCACCCCTGTGTGCCCCAAAACAGACACCCCGTGTGCCCCAGAGCACCCCCCGAGTCACAAACCACCTGTGTGCCCCAAAACAGACACCCCGTGTGCCCCAGAGCATCCCTGTGTGCCCCAAAACAGACACCCCGTGTGCCCCAGAGCACCCCCCGAGTCACAAACCACCTGTGTGCCCCAAAACAGACACCCCGTGTGCCCCAGAGCACCCCCCAAGCTCCAGAGCACCCGTGTGCCCCAAAACAGACACCCCGTGTGCCCCAGAGCACCCCCCGTGTGCCCCAAACCATTCCTGAGTCCCAAACCACCTCCCCTGTGCCCCAAACAAAACTCTCGGTCCCAAGCCATCCCCCATGTGCCCCAAACCACCCCAAGTCCTAAACCACCCCCCGTGCCCCAACACAGCCACCCCATGGGCCCCAAACCATCCCCTCGTGTGTCCCAAACTCTCCCACACGCCCCAAACCATCCCCTGAGTCCCAAACCACCCGATGTGTCCCAAAACAGCCACCCCATGTGCCCCAAACCATTCCCAAGTCCCAAATCACCCCCGTATGTCCCAAACCACCGCTTCATGTACCCCAAACTCTCCCACATGCCCCAAACCACCTCCCCCGTGCCCCAAACCAACCCCTGGGTCCCAAGCCATACCCCACGTGCCCCAAACGATCCCGAGCTCCAAACCACCTCTTGTGTCCCAGAACAGCCACCCCATGTGCCCCAAACCATCCTGAGCCTCAAGCCACCCCCATGTGCCCCAAACTATCCCCCTGTGCCCCTCACAACTGTCCCAAGTGCAGAGGGGCAAAGCAGGAGGTTCCCCCAAGCCCTCCCTGGGGTGGGATGGACCCCGTGTGTCCCTGCCAGGCAGCCCAGCCCCTGCTGAGCCCGTGTCCCCAGCCCGTGTCCCCCAGCCCGTGTCCCTCAGCCCGTGTGTCCCCGCCATGCCTCATCAGGGGTGTCCCTGCCATGCCCAGCCCATGTCCCCCAGCCTGTGTCCCCCAGCCCGTGTCCCTCAGCCCGTGTGTCCCCGCCATGCCTCATCAGGGGTGTCCCTGCCATGCCCAGCCCATGTCCCCCAGCCTGTGTCCCCCAGCCCGTGTCCCTCAGCCCGTGTGTCCCCGCCATGCCTCATCAGGGGTGTCCCTGCCATGCCCAGCCCATGTCCCCCAGCCTGTGTCCCCCAGCCCGTGTCCCTCAGCCCGTGTGTCCCCGCCATGCCTCATCAGGGGTGTCCCTGCCATGCCCAGCCCATGTCCCCCAGCCTGTGTCCCCCAGCCCGTGTCCCTCAGCCCGTGTGTCCCCGCCATGCCTCATCAGGGGTGTCCCTGCCATGCCCAGCCCATGTCCCCCAGCCTGTGTCCCCCAGCCCGTGTCCCTCAGCCCGTGTGTCCCCGCCATGCCTCATCAGGGGTGTCCCTGCCATGCCCAGCCCATGTCCCCCAGCCTGTGTCCCCCAGCCCGTGTCCCTCAGCCCGTGTCCCCCAGCCATGCCCAGCCCGTGTCCCCCAGCCATGCCCAGCCCATGTCCCCCGGCCCGTGTCCCCCAGCCCGTGTCCCAGCCATGCCCAGCCCATGTCCCCCGGCCCATGTTCCCCAGCCCATGTCCCCCAGCCCGTGTCCCCAGCCGGTGTCCCAGCCCCTGTCCCCGCCGTGCCTCGTC